GGACCAGGAGGGCTGGTCTGGCAGCAGATCCTGACTTTTGATCAGGACCAGGGCCATTCCAGGGCTGTGGCCTTTCCGCAGGCAGCACCACTCGGGTAGTGCCAGCAAGGGGACAGGAGCTTCCCCTGAATTGGGCTGCCCTCTAGTGAGATGCCAGCAGCTGGCCCCTGCGCCCAACACCCACCATCAGGGGCTCACAGCAGCTTCTCCCAGCAGAGAGCATAGGCATGAACAGACAAGTCACAGCTGGCACATTGCATGCACAGTAAGTAGCATCTTGCACTGGAAGAAGGTTATTTAGGTCAGCTGAGCAAGCTCGGATGTGTTTCATGCTGCTGAAACTAGAACCACAATTAGAGACACACTACACCTTTTAACTCTTTTTAGGGCAACAGTCTCAAAAGCTGGAGGTCTTCCCTGCACAGCAAGGAAGCCTGTTTCCTAGCAAAGAGTGTATTCTCTACAATATAAATTGTTCCTTCTTCCCCTCCAGGAGATCAATCAGCTGAACAAAATTAACATGTACATAATAACTCAGATGAACACCAGACGCCCAGTCTTCTGTTGCCAAGTGAAACTGGTTTCATGACAATCCACCTTCACTCTTGCTCAGGATCCCACAGAATATCCTCATATTAGAAGTTACTCTGAAATCCTAAGCAAGAGATTTATTAAAAGCCATCAGGCATGTGTTCGATTCTTGTCCCAAGTTCGTTCTTGCTCTGCTACACACTCTGCCACTGAGGTCAAAGGATTTTAAGGCTACATCTCCACCAGACTTGCAGACTTGACACTTTACTGATGACAGCATGACACTGATACAAAACTAGCAAGCTAGGGAGCTTAGGACGTCCATGCAGGGCCTAGGAGGTCCTCTTTCAAGGGTCTTCACTAACGCCTGGTTACATTGTGGTCACACAACTGTGCCCAAAACCCACCTCGTCTTCCTTAGCTGTGGCTCCATCCGAGTTGCCAATGCGAATCACAATGTCAGTAGTGCGGAAGCGGAAGTCTGGATGATCAGCGATGTCATACACGCTCACATCCTCCTCCTCCCCGATCAGCTGCATTGGAGACAGAATGCAAACATGTCAGCCTCAGGATGCTGCACTGACCTTCGAGCTTGCCTTCAACACCTAGAGTACTTTGTTATATTTTGTCAATTTTCAGTTCCTCCAACAGCCTGCAAGGAGCTGCTAATGTCCCTTATGGTCACCTCATCCATAGCACATCAATCAAGGCACAAAAATGAAAGGAAACAGATACTCTGTCTCATCTGCTCATCCTCACCTTTACTTCAGGTTCCATGCCATTATGATCATGAGACATGCAAGAAATTTCATTCCCTTTTGAATAAAAGAAGTCCCCAGTTCAGTGAGGCCGAAAGTATACTTTTGAAATGATCAAAGGCAACAGGAGGAGTCTGACAAAAAGCTTCTCAATTAATGGGAAACATCTTTACTTTGATTTCTCCTGAAGAAGAAGCACCAGGAGCCCACAAATAATGAGAAACAGGTACAGTGGAGCACAACTCCAGGTCAGATTGATGTTCTGTTTCTAGATGTAAAGGGCCCTACTCAGTTATGACAACATGGTCTCCCATTCTAAGGTAGACAGCAGCAGACCAGATTTGAGAGGAGGACTCAAACCACACATCTCCAACTAGACTGTAGTCCATCAAGAATCTCTAAAATACAGCGTTCCTACAAGCCCTGACAGTATTAGGCTGACTGTAGGCCATAGTGCCTGGCAGAGGTAAGCAGGACAACATGCAATAGATTTGAGTCTCTTTCCATGAACTACCAAAGACATGGGAGGAAAAAAATTCTTATAGTGAACTCAAGAAATAAACTGTCTGTGACACTTCAGCAGAGATCTTCACCCATATCAGAGCCTGATGCTGATTTTGGGATGTGAATTCTCTGCTTGGTCTTCCTTGCCTTGCAGGAATCTACAAATATGAAACAACACCAGCTCTAGCTAAGTCTCTCAGATCCAAAAGCACATTACTGTTCTCATCCTCAAGGACAAACACCACTGCAGAGCTGACTCCCAGGCTTATCTGTGAAGCTTGTGCTGTTTTGTGGCTGCTTTTTCTTAGCTGGTTCCAGCAGGCACTGGTTCCTGCACTTACCTCCACATCATCTCCGCTGGATTTCAGCTTGAACCACTTCACCACACAAGTACGGCCAATATGGTCACCAGACTGGACGACTCCATACAACCCGGGGTCTTGGGAGCTCTGAGCTTTTGGTCACAATGGTAGGAAAGAAAAGAGACAAATTAAGTGGAGCAGCACAGACTTCACACAGCAACTGAGGCTGTCAGCTCCCAAGCTCTCACAGCTGAAACCTTCCATTTGTGAATGGCACGAGGAAAAATAGTTCTTCCTACACAGTTAAAATTGTACTCAGCTAATGAGTTGCATTTTATTAGGGCATAGAGTGATGATAAAGTAAGATTATGTTGCATTGGACTGGCTGAACACATTCACTTTGGGATCACTTTCGAGCTCCATCTCCAAGGGAAGACACACTGTCACCTTAGTGCTCTGCTCTCCAAATTAGCTCTGCACCAAGACTGCCAGAGTTTCTGGACAGGCTGGCCAAGAGCTCCCTGAGAGCAGCCCTGGCTGCCAAGCTCTACATCTAAAAATGTGCCGCCCACAACAGTTGTGCTCCTCTGGAAAAACGGACTGGAAACAAAGGTAGCAGGCAGGCATACATGTGCACATGCATGCCTTGGGAATCCAACAGCAAACCTGGGCCCAGACCACCTCTCCAGGCCTGGGCTGTTATCCAGCACACTGGTATCCAGACATCTTTCAGATTTATCCGGCTGACAAGGATCCACCTCTTGGCATCCTTAGCAGGGAGGTGCAAGGAACTGCGGGTATCCCAGACTGCTTGGAGAGTGTTTGACAGATGGAGCTCTGAGTACAGATTCCCAGAGGCCAAACTAGAATGGCAGAGCTAGAGCTGATCGATAATTTTAGTTTCCATGAACTATGTCTAACCCACAAGACCAGTCAGACTATTACTCATCAGAAACGGCCATGCAAAAAGTATCTTTTTTTTTTGCAAAGCCAGCTTTACCTCTTCCCAATCTGACAGTATCTTTTGCTCCCCAGTGTTGAGGATCTACCCCTGCTAGAACAGAAGAGGAGCTGTGAGTCAGATGGTGTGCCATCAATATTTCATATCCAAAAGCTGTAAGTCTCCTTGAACTTGTACTGCGACCCTCATTAGTGTCACCAATTTGTCTGGTGAAGAAAAAGGATGCAAGAACATGCCTCTGGATCCCAAAACCCTCTAATTAAAAATGGAAGGTCATGACAGGCAAGCCATACAGAGAAAGCAGCGTGAGCTGTTAATTTCTCCCCTCATTCTGCAAGAGAGCTCAGAGCTGTTTGCACTTTCAAGGAGAAGAAGGTGGGCCACCTCTACTCTACAGAAATACTGAGTGTCCTAGCTTTGTTCCTTGGCATTTATTCCTTTCACGTCTTGCTTGTTGTCATAGTCCAACCTTGGTATTTAAATAACAGTTCTCTGCTGACATTCATGTGACATCACCTGAATCACTGTCTGTTCCTCATTAGGCTCTTGTGCCTACCTCAAGCAAGCACTAACAGCTACCGTAAAAAGGGCTACAATGTACAATTAGGAGATCCAGACTGAAGAATACTTCACAATTAAAAGCACGTTTGTTCCCTGAGAAGAGCATTGTTTTGACACCCAATACCTCTTTTGTCCACCACAAAATCCCCAGGGCAGAACTCGTTGTTGTCCAGATGATGGACTGGAATCAGCTCATTGGAGCGAATGTTTGTCTCCACGGTGCCATCCTGCCACATCACATCTGCTGAAGTCATCGTGGTCACCACTTCTACAGCAACCCTGCGAAAACAGAAAGGCAATGAGTTACCAGAGGGAGACATGCATGAGCACAACCAGAACATGATGCTGCCAACATCAAGAATCAAGATGGACCTCAGCAACACAAGGGTACGCACATCAGCAGGCTGGGAAGCAAGTCAGGAAACCCCATCTAGTCTCAGTGGAAGCAACTACAGAGCAGGATTTGTTTTGACAGGTTCTCAATCATTGCAGATGTTACATTGCTGCAAGTCTATATTGCAGGAGGATTTACTTTCCAGGGAGCTGGTGCTGAGCTCACTTTTATTCCTAGTGGAGGAAATTAATATCTACTAGCACCCACTTACTACCCCTGGCAGAGGTAAGACAGGAGCTTCAAATACTTGGAAATTTAAGATCTTCTCACTGAAGCACCTTCCAGTCTGGCAGCTCTAAGGAGTCTTTGAAGCTAGAAGAGCATGGGATTGGAAAGGAAAGATAAAGCAGCCTCCATCTCAGCCTTTCCACAAAGAAAAAAAGAGGCAACGCATTGAATGTGGGTAAAGCAAAAGGATTTTGTTTAAAAGACAAAAGTCCCCTTCCCAGCTGTTCAAAGACATACTTGTGTCTCTCTGCAGCTCAGAAATGAAACCCAAACATGCAACAATGGACCACATGCTGATACTCCACTGTGGAGCTTGACAGAGTTGCTTGAAGAGGCAAGTTGCTTGAGGGCAGGAGGAACGGAGCTGCAGTCTAGTTGGACAGACTTCTATTGAGCCCTCTACCATTTTCATCTCTCCTACAGCATGGAGATTGAATTGAATCCCATGCTGATCTTAAATCTTGTCTTTATTTTGCTGGCTAGGCCTTCCAGACACAAGTGCTACATTTATGTTGTTTTCACGTCAAACCATAGAGAAGATACAATAGGCAAATACAAATGTTTTCCCCTAGCCCTGTTTTTATATGTCTGTCAGAGAAATATTTTTAAGTTAAGATAAAATGAAGTTTCTGGTAGGTCCAGTGCTCAACAGAAATTATCAGAGAAAGAAATCTGTAACAGGTCAAGTGCAGTGAGTGACACGCCAAGAGATGGTTCCTTGGGGGAAGTGGAGGCACGTGCAGCAGAGGATGGGAGAGCAGAAAGGTGGGCCACCCAAGGAAACGATACAGTCCAGTCTGTGGTGCAGTTTATGCTGCTTGACAAACGAAATCACAACTTGGCCTCAGTAAAAATCCCTGTATATCCTCACTGAAAAATAACCAGAGGTCTACGTAATGCCCGGAGAGCTGCAGCAAGTCACTAAACGATGGTAAAGACATGTTCCAAGTTGGTTCCCTGCAGTCAGAGATGCCCATGAGCTGCCACATCAGATCTGGTGACTAGCTGCAGCAAGCCCATCCACTCTGCATTTCTCAGCAGTGCTTGGCAGCACACCTACTGATGGTCTCACCAGCTTAATCTGAATACTTGGAACAGTAAAGACCCCTCACACCGAGCTGTGACCAGCTGCCACATACACCCTTTAAGGTATCAGCTGGGGTTTAACATTCTGTGCTTAAAAATGTGTATTTCTTATCTTCTGTGACACAGTCATCTGCAAATTCTCCCAACATCTGATCTCTGCATTTCCTTGTATGGAGCTGCTCAGATCCAGCACAGGAATCTCAGTGTTGTCACAGGGATTTCTCCCCACTGCCTGTATGGTGCAGAAAGCTACCAGGTTTACTAGCTAAGCTCTCCTTAACAAAACCTTTAGTGAAGTAGAAGCACTCAGCAGTGGGGTGAGAAGCGAAAAGCGAAAGAAAAAATCAGTTCCCAGGACCTGTCATGCACTTCCATTTTATCTTTCACTCGAATACTGCTCTGCTGAGGTTTTGAGACCTTCAAATCCACGTTTCTTCAAAGCCCAAAAAGGAACAGCTCTGCTTGCATACAAGCAAAGCTAAAATACTCAAACCAAATGTGAATGAAGTTAATGGCATTTTCTCAAACTTCTTGAATCTTGATAATATCACTTTTCTGGGAGGATTCTCACGTATTATCTGCACTAGTTCATTTCTGATGGAGGATCTGTACACAACTAAGTAGCCCAGGGAAGCCAGCAAGACAGGCTACCCAGCTGTCAGATGTCTTTACATCCCCTGAAAACAGTTTAAACATTCTCAAGTTAGGAAAAAGGTAAAAACTGCAGAGATCCAGTTTTATCTAGAAACGGGCAAATATATGCAATGCTCCCCCTCCAACCTACTGAAATCAATTCCTCCAAGGCTCTCAAGGAGTGCATTTTGTTCATTAAAAAACCCAATAAAAAGTATACTGCTGGCAGACGTTACAGATCTCTCTCCAGAGCAGGGTATGGATAACAGAGACCGCTGCAGCATGAACCCCTGCCAGCACAGACCTCTGTGCTGATCTGGAGACAGCCCTCTCTCCAGGATAAGCTGTCCTTTCCCACTAGCATGGTATATCCCCAGCCTTGCTCCAGAAGCTGCCATTGAGGTAACCAGTTAGTGTCATGTTTAAGCTGTATGATCTTTATTCACCTGTGTCTTTCTCTGTGTAGAGTCTAGTGCAGCACAGATAGTGTCGGTGCCTCCGGGCAGAGCTGAGATAGAACAGCATCAGTGTCACATCATGTGGCCCCAGTTTCGTCAGAAGCTGGACTGAGACCAAGCTGATTTCACACAGGCCACTGCACAGTCACCGCAAGATAATCACTGTTGGTTACTACCATGGGAGTGTCCCAACATGAAGCACACTATCATCCTCCACTCAAGCCGAGGAGGGGGTTTACATCTGACAACTTTGGTAAGGAAGATTTTCGCAAGTGGCAAGTATGTTTGGAAATCCAACTCACCTGTCTCCTGGCTTAAACTCTCGTGAAATCTTGGTCTTTTTCTTCTTGTGCTTCCGCTTCAAGTTTTTGATGGAAAGAGGGATGCTCTTCTTGCGGCCAGTGCCGCTGCCGCTCTGGGAAGATGCAGTGGAGCTAGCAGAAGAGGTGACAGAGCTAGTGTCATCTGTGTCATCAGCTGCCTCATCATCAGCATCTTGCTCCATGGACTGAAGCCGGTAGTCAGACGACCCCTCGTCTTTCAGCAGAAAGGGGTGCTGCTGCTGTCGCGCTGCTGCTCCCCCTTTCTCCTTCCCCATTTCTTCAGGCGGCTCCTCCTTTCTCTCTCCAGGACTCGGTGCACTGTTCGAAGAGTCATCCAGCTCACACTTTGATCCAGGCTTAAGCTCTTCTGATTTTTGGTCTGCAACTGCAGCAGACTCTTTGTCAGGGGCTTCGCCGGTACCCTGAGACTCTGGGGAGCATGACATGATCTTCACTATCTGTTTCTTCAGCAGTCGCCTCACCTAGAGAAAGCAGACTGGCATCAGACAATACGCCTGTACACTCAGCATGCTGCCAGCCAACCTGGGGAATGGTTGGCACAAAGAGGAAAACAGCACCTCATGGGCCTCTGCACATTTCGTCTACACCAGACGAAAAGGTAATTCCTATTCTGCAAACCATTCCTATTCCTTATTCCTATTCTGCAAACCAGCATCTCACCACTGCTCTACTCGGGAGCAAATACCAGCTGGTTCTCCAGCAGCACTGGACTAGTCCAAGGAAATTAAGTTTTGCTCTTTAAGGCTATTTTAGGCATGTTCTGAACTTTTTGTTATGGAAGGTCACAAGAGGCTTCACAAGCTAATCTATGTAACAGACTGCTATGCAGGGAGGTCACCATCCACACTGCTGATATCCTGTTATTCTAGGAACGTCACTGCTCTCCGGCCAGTGTGGAAAAACCACAGCACAACTCATTTGGCCTAGGACGCAAGTACTTTGTTCTTGTCTCACTGTAGCAAGGATTTAACTGAACAGTTCAGCTCCATGGGAGACGTGAGGTCATGCTAATGAAAATGACACGTGTAACAGCCCTGGCTGTCAGAGCACACCAGCTCTGACACAGCTTGACCCCTGCAAGGTGACACCTCTATGTTCAATGTCCTGTTCATGTTCTCTCGTGGCATTAGCTTCACACCTCACCCAGTGAAGTCAGACTGCTGTACAAGGTGACTTCACTGCTGGCAACAACATGCCATTACTCTTTACAACCACCACTTCAGGAGTCGCATTTCAGACCACGTGATTACCAGGAAGATTTTTTTTTAAAAGCCACAGTGACCAGAAACGCTTAGAGAAGTCAATGCATCTCCTCGATCCCCCAACTTACCTTTTTGGCAACTGATCCTTCACCCAGGACACAGTTCCTCTCAGGGCATTCACAGGTGATTTTTGCAGGTTCCACTTTGTCCGGGAACACATAGAGGCACCTTTCCCCAAGCTGCCTTTGGGCATGGTCAAAGCACCCCAGACGCTTTACCCTGGTAGAACAGGAGGGCAGCTATGAGCAAAGTGCAAAAGCAGTAACAGAACCTAGCAGCAACCAGTGGCTTCACAAGGCTGGCGTGACCTCATGCCAACAGCATTTCTGGGGTGGCAGAAGCCAACTCCACACCAAAGCTTTTCCAGCCACACAGTTCTAAAGGAGGAGTGGGAAATCTCATCGGGGACTGGGGGGGGGATAACAAAGGGTTTGGGTGGGACACTAGTCACTCCTCTCCCTCTGGCTCCCCCTCCCAGAGACAGCTGCCAAAAGACATTTAAAGTTGGTATTTCTGTTTTAATTTTTTTTTGCTGTCATCCAAGAGCTCCTCTCCTGCAGCTTCCTTATGAGCTCCAGGCAGGAATTATGCTGCATTGTGCTATTACTCATCTGACTTTTCTTTCAGAATGTTGTCCAGCCCATTTCTGCAGCTGCAGCCTGCAGAGGGCACCAGATGCTCCCTCAGCACCCGCCTGGGTCGAGCAGGACCCAGGACACCTCAGCTGGCTACTGCACCCACACACAGTTAAAAGACACCCACACTGCTCCATACACAGTGGAAGAACAAGGGAAGTAAGCTTTTGCCAGACACCTCTTTCCTCTATGTACTTGTCAGATGGAGAGTACTTGGAGAAGATTTGTGGGATGCTAGTCCCTGTGTTGGTAACTAAAGTGTCTGCTAAAGCAATTTGGAAGCTATTCTCTCACATTTATTAAGCTTTGGAATATACAGGCATAAAACAAGGAGAAAAACAAACTGGGAACAGCAGCATTGTGTCTAATCAGTTGGTAGGCATGTCACTCATGGTCTGTGAAGGCCCTGGGTGCTGGGATTGAAAACAGGCTTTCAACTGATCTCACCTGGACAGGTTCTCCTGGCTAATTACTGAGGGAGGAGGGCTCACACTGTCAGTACCTCCAGGACAGAAGCTTTTAGTGATCCAAGTAACCTTTAGCTCTACCACCTGTACCTAAAATGTAAAGAGAGAGAAGACAATTTAATTTTTCAGAGACTTTCATAGACCACTGTCTAGGATCTGAATATTTACGCACAGGAAAGCAGCAAACCTGCTTTTATTTTTTAAAATGTCCTGGATACGGTGAAACTGCACTTGGCCCACTACAGTACTCCCATAGCATGGCTCCTGGCAACACAGAGAGCTTCTACAGTTTTTAACTTCAAAAAAGATGACATCTGGCTTGGGAAGGAAGCTATAGTACATACAAATCAGCAGTCCAATGTCACAAGGACATATTAATGGACTGGGAGCTGCTCCCTCTTTCAGCAAAACGTCAGCAACATTTCTCCCTTTTTGGATAGCATGCAACATTAAGTTTCAATAGAAGAGGTGCTTCTACTACCCTAATGATCAGCAGTACTGGCCTTTAAGTGTATTGGCATGCCATCACCTTACAGGGTGCTGGCAGGGACCCTTGGGAGGAAAAGCCAAGCCACACTCAAAAGTCCTGTCAGTCCACAATGAGGAATTTGTCACCTCAGAAGAACAAGGCTACAGTGCATTTGCTCTTGGAAGGTTACCATGGCAGGCTGACTGCTCCAAAACGCCAGCCAGGGACCGTTCTGTGCAGAAGGTGGCCGTGTGTCAGCTCGTCAGTCCTTACCTCCTCCACCACCACTCTGAACTTGCTCTTTGTGCTCAGAACAGGTTTCACACCTGAGAGCCACTGTACACTGGAGAAGACTTTAGAAGGCCCAATGAGGACTTGCCCAGGATAAAAGCCATATGAATCATCGAAGAAGAGACCCTGTGGGGAAATGAAGGAGGAAAAAAACAGCATAAAGGACTTTTGCTCTTAAGATTCCAGCATTTCTCTTCTCTTTCATGATCTGTAAGATTAACTGTAAAGAAAGAGTCTTGTCTGCAAGCTGCCCATCTCCTAAAGCTCATTCCTCTCCTGAAGTCAATCTGGCAGTTCCTATAGCAACCTGCTCGGTCACACATCCATACCAGAACTATGACTCAGTGGTGAAGAAGCAAAGGTAATTGTGAGAAATAATAGATGTGGATTTCCACACAAATATTCTCAGTAACAAGATAGCCAAGGTGGGTTGAGTCCTGGGCCAGGACAACCTGTCTCTTCCATGCTCCAGTTCTAGTACCTACAGCTTTCAGAGCCAGAGGAAGCCTGCTTTCACTCCTCTGCTTGTCAAATTAAGTTTAAGTATTACTCCTGTCTTAAGTGGATTAGTTAATATGACAGTTCTTTGAAAACAAAACAGGATGGTAAACACAACAATTGCTCTTCTAGAGCTCCTTCCTACTGATATTTAGAGTAACTTGATGAGCCAAAGATTCAGAACGCGGGGGCGGACAGAGCAGTTTAGGGTAGATAAAATACTGAGCACAAAATTGTAACAAGTCTTGTAATTTGTCAAAAAGGGTAAGAGCAGTGTGACAACATCTAAGTCAGGTTAAGTACCAAACACACAGCAGTTCTGAGGACAGGATCAAGAGTAACACTGGAGACAAGTCACGTTCCAGACCAAACCGCAAATCCCCAGAGGATTTACATACACTTTAAAAGCAGCCTGACTCAAAACAAGGCATCTAAAAAAATCAGGTACCCAGAAGCTGGATGCTGCTACAACATCCATTTAGCTATCAGAAAACACACTGCACAACTCAAAGCAGCAGAGACTAAGGTACTGGAAAATACCTAGCAACAGACCATACCTTTTCTGTACAGAACAAGAAAACCAGAGCAGCACATCCTATTAAACGGATATTCCATTTACTCAAGAAACAGGTATCAAATTTTAACAGAAGTGCAGTTTTAGATCAAAGGGACCTTTGCTTTGAAGGCTCAGAAGGATAAGGGCTGACTGTATTCCTAGTTTTTAAGAATTACACATCATTCTCAATCAAGTCCCAGTACTGCTGCCAGGAGTGCAGTGAGGCCCTACAGATGCTGTTTGGAAGAACAAGCAAGCTGTCATCAGCCTTTGAAGGTGCGAGAGGTTAGAGGCCATCATCACACAGGGAACTCCACATTCCACCCAAAGGCTAGCAAAACCTTCCCCACCACGTGATTTGGAAAATGCCAGTATGGCAGCAGTCAGAGAATGCGATGGACTTGAACAGCAAGAGATACAGTATTTTACATGATCTGGAAACGTGCTTCTAGCAGAACACCTTTTAAACAATACGCAGCAGAACACCTTTTAAACAATACGCCCTTTTCCAGAAGGGGAACACTTTTGAAAGCATTAAATGGAGTAAGAGCCTTTTCAAGCACGTACAGATACAAAGAGCAGACAGTGAACTGCCTTGACATCAGCCATCTGACTGCATGTTATGCAAGTTGATTGCAAAGAAAGCAGTTGGATATATTAATTATAATACCTCCTCAAAACGTGCTGATTATTAACCTTACCTTTAAGCTACATCCTGTCACTTTAAGTGGAGATCTAGTGAAGTGTTTTTCAGCTGTGATGCATCGTTTAATTTTTAGGATTAATAAGTGCCTATAGTTTGCCTTCTCCCTCCCTCCTGCACAAAAAGCTTACAAGATGAAGCTGATCAAAAAGACTCTCAGGAGAACCAGAAGCTTACCGAGTCACTGACATGAGGACAAACATCATACAGCTTGGCTCCATCTTCTGTGCTCATAGAACACCTGGAAAACAGACAAGAGACACGGTCACATTTCCAGAGCCATCCATCTCAAAAGCAAACAGTCACTGCCTGAGCGGGTCTGTCCACATGCCCAGCAGTATATTGCTGAGCCTTTATAACCAGAGCAAAACTGGTTATAGACAAGCTATAAAAGCACTGGCTGGTATCTAAAGGTTCCATTCAGCATACAAGAAAAAATTAAAAGATATGCAGGGTGCTAGACAAGATTTGTCTTCTGCAAAGGTCTCATTTGTTGTTCACACTAATGCTGGGACCAAAAGGCAATTTGGGTATCTTTGCTTCAGTAATAGCTTCATTTCCAGAGCAAGTTCTGGTGGGATTTCAAATGATTCATTAGGAAGAGATTTTGAAAACAGTTAGCTCATTTTACACAGCTATGCATGAGCTGGTAACGGAAACCAAGCAAGGTTTTAAATTGCACCAGTAACTGCAGACGATACAGATAGAGATGGGTAGCTATTTTTCACTCCTAGTTTAGCATATGCATAACAGCCTTCCAGTCTGGGTTAAATGAAAGCTAAAACAACCAACATTTCAGATGCATCTGCTAGAGCTCTCTCGTTACTCACTTCTCTTAGAAAGACTGAGCTGGCTGCAGTGTTGTGAGTTTGTTTGTTTGGGTTTTTTTTAAACATCAATGTCAACACTCAATTTACAAGACAGACGGGTTATTGCCCAGCTGCCAGGCCCATAAGCCTGTTGGCCTTCACTGGTTCCTTCATTCCCTTGCATCAATAAAAAAGTTTGTTGGACAAGACAGTCCTCAGTAACAGAGTGAATGTAGTGAATTCAGAGGGGTTTAGTTCACAAGTAACTGACATGCACAAGGAACAGAATTCAGATCCTTCTGCTGGCTTTGCAGAAATAAGTTACCCAGATATTTCTTCCAGTATCTTTGGTTAAATCTCTTTCTCAAGATATGACTTCGGGTTATGTCTTCATTGAAAAAACATTCCTAATACAGTTGCAAATAACAGTGAAAAAGCGAAGCTGTTCAGTCTCGGGCTGCTTTTTCATCTTTGATAAAAACCACTAGCCTGCAAGTTCCTACACTTTCACAGTGAGTGAAAGTATTTTTTAAGGTAAGAATCCTCCCCGCGTCTCAGTGAAGTTACACTCTCCTACTGAGAAAAGGTCTGGAATAACAATCTACCTTAAGCAGCTACTTTTTCAAAGGAGAACACAGTTTAAAGACCAATGGGCTTTAGTTCTGGAGCACTGATCTGCTGGGACTGAAAAAAAATTATCACCTTTCAGACAACAGCTTTTCCAGAGGGTGACCAGTGAATCTCTGTTTTCAGAGAAAGATGTATCCTTACTCTGTATCTGAAGATAACGCAAGCAGATAACTCATCTATGTGAATGAAGCCCAGCCTGTTTCTAGTTCCCCTAAAACAGATCAGGTTTATGAAACCCAAAGGGGACAGTCTTCAACAGAAAGAGAAGTACCTGGCTCCATTGGAAAGCTTCAGGATGACCTGGTTCTTCAAATCATAGACCTTGCCCAACCAGCAGTCATAGGCTATATAGTCACCATACATGAAGGGCTATGAAGAAAACAGGAAACAAAAATTATATAAAATAATAATCACAAATCTCAACCCTTGGACTTGAAGCCATCAAGTCCTCACACAATGCAGACTAGATCACAATCTCAAAAGGGATTTATGACAGCAACTGCGTACATTGAAGAGTTTGCTTGACAGTCAGCACATAGCCTGGATTCTCCAGTTAAATAACTCAGGCTTTCTGGGATTTTTTCCTTGGATCTTAAACTTGCTAAGTCACACTTGCCTTTAGTCAATATTAACAATTAATTTTTATGACTAAGCCTAATATTCCATCCCAAACAGAGAAGCCTGCATCCCACTGTCATTCCACAAGCTGTTTCTTGAGAAAGACTGTGACACACCTGCTCTTCGCCCCCAAATTATCTTTTTCTCAGAGGAAAAAGAATGATGAAATCCTATCCTATCTGGTCTCTGGAAATCACCCATCCACTCAATGGGGGGAAACAGGTGCATTTCAGATCGTTCCAGCTAGACAGAAAGATATTTGACTTCTCTCAGCATGTTTATAGCCTGTTTAAACAATAACAATACTGAAGCTCAGAAGCTCTGTGCCACTGCCATGGGCTGCCCCGATCAGGTCGTTGCATCAGCCCATCAGTGTCGAAGTTCTCACACAATTTTACGTCAGCCTAGCCCTCCAAGTCAATTTGGTCTCAGCTATGTGATCAGAAACACAGAACAGATGGGAAGATGAGGTGATGCTGCATCATCTTCCAGGGAGGATGCTTTCGGTAAGTTTAAAATAAAACCAAACCGCAGAGGCATCTTGCACAATGTGGATGCCTTCCTTGCATGTGTTACTTGGAATATAGCAGCATCCCTTCAAACCACCAAGCCCTGGCTCCCACATGTATTTTGGTTGTGTTCTCACCCAGATATGTTGCAGGTCTTTGCTGTTGACAGGGTAGAGGATGCAGTTGGTTCCTACCAGCTTCACAGCACACTCTATGTTGACATCAATTACAGTCCCACACTGGCTGTCCTGAAAACACAGAAGAGAAAAACAGTTTATCACCTAGGGAAGGTCCTATATACACACGTACATGCTCTGTGTGCACATGGGAAGTGCAGAGACCACTCTGAAGAGCAAACCCACCTTATACCCTTCAGGCCCTCATTTTGAAGCGGCATTTCATATGACCTCAAGACAACTAAGGAAAAGGACTTGGAAGTGCTGGTGGATGAGAAGCTCAACATGAGCTGGCAATGTGCACTGGCAGCCCAGAAAGCAAATCGTATCCTGGGCTGTATCAAAAGAAGTGTGGCCAGCAGGTCAAGGGAAGTGATTCTGTCCCTCTACTCTGCTCTCGTGAGACCCCACCTAGAATACTGTGTTCAGCTCTGGAGTCCCCAGCACAAGAAGGACATGGAGCTACTGAAGCGAGTCCAGAGGAGGGCCACGAAGATAATCCAAGGGCTGGAGCACCTCTGCTATGAAGACAGGCTGAGAGAGTTGGGGCTGTTCAGCCTGGAGAAGAGAAGGCTGCAGGGTGATCTTATATAGTAGCTTTCCAGTACCTAAAGGGGGCCTACAGGAAAGCTGGAGAGGGACTTTTTACAAGGGCATGTAGTGATAGGACAAGGGGCAATGGCTTTAAACTGAAAGAGGGGAGATTTCGATTAGATATAAGGAAGAAATTTTTTACATTGAGGTGGTGAGGCACTGGAACAGGTTGCCCAGAGAAGCTATGGATGCCCCATCCCTGAAAGAGTTCAAGGCCAGGTTGGATGAGGCTTTGGGCAGCCTGGTGTAGTGGAGGATTTCTCTGCCCATGGCAGGGGGGGTGGAACTAGATGATCTTTAAGGTCTCTTCCAACCCAACCCATTCTATGATTCTAACTCAGAAGGTGAGACCACTATTCAAGACCTGCAGTATTTTCTTCCTGGTTAGCATTTGCACTGGCTGCTAAGGCAGCAGCCCAGAGACTCCTGCACATGGTCAAATAAGACCACACTATGGCAGGTGATGAGCGTTTACTTGCTTTAAAATCTGTCTGGCTCCTTGGTCTATTCAACTGAGCAGATCTCTGCACCTCCGTAGCTATGGCCCTGAGCCAGCAAACACAGGGCAGATCATCAACCCTAGCACACAAGAGAAAACCTTTAAAGCTATCTGTGACTTTCCATGTAAAGCTTGATTTTGCAGGACAATGTAAATGGTCTTCAGTTGCTGCCACACTGAAAAAGAATCTGGCACCTTTTGTCAGATTTCAAGGTTCCAAGTCAGATAATTTACAGTTGGTCCAATTACAAGATGGTTGTCATTATCTCCCTCACTTTTTAGCAAAGTTTTAATCTTTTTTGTCCCCAAGAAAATAACGCATGCTGTCAAGAGCCTTCTGGGGATAGTTTGGCAGGGAGCACACAATAGGCATGTTGCTTACACATATGGCAAAGGCCTGCAAGGAAGGGCTGCTAACCCAAACACTGTCAAATGTGGCAGCTGCCCTGGCCCCCTGACAGCTGGGACAATCGATACTCTTATTTATTAAAGACCACAAGTCATTATAAAAGCTGACTGAGGGCCAGCATGACAAATGGTGGCCCTGGTATCAGCAAGTTCTGAAGCTGTCCTTATCTCAAACATCAAGGTCTCTGCTCCAACAAGGACTTGAACATAACACTCGAAGGGCTTATACCATGCAAGAAGTGGATTTGTTTGCTCAGTCCACTTATAAACCACGCTCTTTTTTTGACCACATTAAATATTTATTCAAGGCTTTCACTCAGAGCCCTGGACAGTCCTTTTGGGAGTTCAGGAGTTTGCTGGTGCTCAACTCAGTCTCATTGTGGGGACTGGTAGTTAGAGCAAAGATACCCTACAGACACTCACAGTCCAGGATAATTCCTGGACAGATTGCTCAGCCCATTTGGCTGGCTTGCTTTCCATCTGCCTGCTGCAAGTCCTCTTTCTCACATCACACAAACCCTGTGCTATGCAGCCCCTCAGGTCCTGAGTAGGCAGCAATGAAGAGAGTGGGTCCTGCCCTGTGCATCGCCCATGCACAGCCGTGCCAGCATGGTCATGACAGGGAGGTTGACAGAGTCCAAAGCAGCAGGGGCTTGTTCCCTCCAGCTGCTCCACATATCATTCCCATTTCTTTCTAGAAAGGCTGGAAAGCAAAGGGAGCCTTTCCCAGCTATAGCTCCATCATGACAGACAGCAGCTCTGCCTAACATAGCTTGCAGCCTGCACAGGCTGCCAGGAAAGAACCCAAAGCTGTACCGTAACTCTCACCTGAAAAAGGTTTGCCAGAACTACGTCGGATTCACAACAGCTGCTGCCAGCACAATTCAAGCTGCAGGATGATTAAGGCCTGCTCAGAAATGGCACCTGCTCAACCCAAACCCACAGCTTCTGAAGGCCAGAGCACAGCCACCTACCCTGCTTTTCCTCCAGATTAAGCTAAATTAAGTATGCCCAGTCTGTCCTTCGCCCATCCTTTGCAGTTCAGGCCCTGTGTTTTAGATTTCTTAGTAGTTAGTATCAAAAAAAATGCAAAAAACAAATCCCTTACCCTACACTGAGCATTTCAGAATTAATTTTTCCTTTATCAGCAGCCAAGATGACAGCAGCTCTGAGACATGATCGAATCCAACACCTGCGTTTTCTGTGGATCATCTTGTCTGTGGGCCCAAATCCCCTCTTTTATTGATGGTGAAAGAATAACGAATAATAAAACCAGGACTAGGGCAAGTGATGCACACCAATACTCTCTGCCCATTCTCTAACTGACAGTTTCCCCATGGAGAAGGTGCCTGCACCACCCTACAAGCCTTCCTCCCGTCTAACACCATTGGATACCACCCAGTCATGGGCAAGAGCACTGCGTTTAGTTCAACTTGCTTCTCCTTCCAGTTGCAAAGCACTCGAGAGAGCACAGAGCACTGTCTGTGGTTAAGAGATCGATGTTGTGAGCAGCCCCAGAAGCTACAGGGCTATTGAGTCACAGCTCTCCTCTCTCATCTGCCACTGAACCTTTGCTTATTATAAGTTTATTTACTTCCCTGCCGCATGAAATATTAGCCTGCGACAGGGGAGGCAGATTTGCAGGCTGAGGGGTTCTGCTGAATCACTCAGATTATAGCGGCGCTCAGCAACACAGTCATGAAGCAAGAAGTCGCCAACTTGTCTCATCTTCCAGGGCAGGTCTACAGCCAGAGCACGGCCCCCTATCAGCCTCTTCAAACACAACTGTCTCATCCTGTTCATTAGATGCTGCCATTAAAGGAGGGGCCAAATGAAACAAGCTGGCATTTCACAGTTCTGTTACAAAAATTATTTTCCTTCAACCCCAAAAACAGAACCAGAAAAGGGGGGTGACTGATCTTCATTAGAACAGCTGATGGGTTCAAGTCCCACTCACATCAGAGTCAAGTGCACTCCCTAGACTTTCTTCCTGCTTCTTCTGGTACCCTGACGCATACGTACCACACTGGAGATTCTGAGTATTTAAGCAGTGAATGAGCAGAGAAGGGACTATCTTCCTTCCCCAGAGACAAGGCTTCAAGGCAGACCAGCTAACTCCCATCTGAGAGAAAAGCAGCTCAGCAAGTGTAGGCTGCAGTCCC